TTTGCATTGGGGGTTGGGGGAGGTGCGTACATGGGCGATACGGAAAATAGGTGGCAACTTGGGTGAATTGTGAACTTGCTTAAGTATACACCTTTCTTGCTTGTTGTACAGGTGGACCAATTCACAAGCCTTTTCTGGTAAGACTTGCATGTCCTTAGCGTAAAATAGATCTTTTAAAGGTAAAGATACCAAAGCAGTAGTTACAGAACAACCCATATTGATATACCGGGCATGCTAGGTAGAGTGCAAGCCAGGAATCGAAAACCTTTTTTGTTCCCATGCTTCTCCGCGTGCAAGGACGCCGGCTACAAGACCTACTGTTGTGCAGACCGTTACGATCCGCGCCAGCTCTTCCTCTTTCAGGGCCCAGTATCTATAGATCATATAGAATGGCCTATTATACGGACTAGGATGTAGAGTTAAGGGTTTAGGGTGTATAAGGTTTAGGGAGGAGGGTATTCAAGTACATGTTTTGGGTCTACATGGGCTTCAAATACTCTAAGTTCCTCGTGGCTTTACCGTCACTTCCCTCTCCCACTGCAGAGTGGCAGTCAACATGTGACCGACCGCCTATTCATGTACCTACATGGAGCCTAAGGGTAATGTATCTACGCCGTCGTCCGGACCACTGCAAAACGCAGCTCTGTAGTTTCTCAATCCTACGCTTCAGGCTTCACACCCGACGTCTTGGTCACTCAGCACGAGCTGCTCTAAACTAAAAAATGTCTGACACAAAACCTAAGCTTTGCCTAGAGTAGCCAATCTATCCAAAAATTAGATCCCTTACCTGCTCTGTTGGTATCTCTACCCAGCGTTTAAGGTCTAGCTCGCTGCACAAGCGCATACAAAGTTTTCCTGTGAAACAGGAGTATTTATCAAAGTCATCCCGACTTCTTTCCTGGGTGGTATGTTTATCATTTCCGTAGAATCCCATTTTGCCTTTGTCTAGGGCACGCCCTAATTCCTAAACATTAGTATGCGCCCCTACCATGTAATCTAAACCCTAAACCCTAAACCATGTCCGCCAGGCTCCTGAGGAGGCTGAGTAGTAGCACCGTCAGGAGATGCCAAGCGCGGTTTACTTACTGGGGGGTAGGGTTTAGGGTTTAGGGTTCAGGGTTTGGGGTTTAGGGTTTAGGGTTTAGGGTTTGGGGGTAGTAAGGAATAAGAGAACATAAGCCTTACCTAATCCCCATACAATATGTTCCCCCATTCCCTATGTAATCCTACACTTGAAGACCTAAACCTTTATTCCGGTTCATTCCCTATTAGCCGCCAAAAGGTTTAAGTGTTTAGGGTTTAGGTTTATAGTCGCTCTTGAGTAGATAGAATATTGCTTTGGGTATATTACAATCAGATCCCCATATACCCCATATTCTATCTACTTAACGGGGACATAGGAGGACTACATTATTTAACGGTGTACTGAGTACTGTACGGCTGGGCTTGAGGGTAGGGTTGGGCCTTGGCACTAGCATTGCAGGTTTCCTTGAGGCTTTACCTGTGGACTTCAAAAGTAGGTAGAATAATAGCCCAAAACTAAGATATATAGCCCACCATGCAGTTATTCTCCATACTTGCGGGGTTAAGGACCCTAAGCCCTAAACCTTTACTGCAAAGAGCGGGTTTAGGTTAAGCCTCGGTTCAGGGTTCTGGATCAGTGCTCAGGATCTAAGATTCCCGGCTGACCTAGCTTAGGGTTTAGGGTTTGGGGTTTAACCCTAAACCCTAAACCCTAAACTTTAGGCCCTTAAGGTCAACAAAGAGCCCAAGGCAGTGGATACGAAATTATACATTTTGGGGGTGCATTGCCCCAGGGCTCCAGTTACCTAAATAGTAGGTTACTGGGCTATGTAACTATAGGACATATAGAGCCCAGTTCCCATTATTTAGGTAACTGGAACCCCAGGGTTGGTTACGCTAGGTAGAGTTGAGAGTGTTGTTTGGGGTAGACGGTTTAGGGTTGGTTTGGCTTTGATTGGTCGTAGCGGTTCCAGTGGTTTCATGAGCGATGTAGAAAAAGAGCAGCGTAGGCATGACACAACCATTATGGCGAGCAGGCATATATTGGATTATTATATGGGTTATGGCGAAGTACTGCTTGTGTCTAGTGTTGGTGTGCATAGAAGCACCTAGCACTCCTAGAAAATAAGGCAGGTCTCAAGCGGAAGACTGATGAAGTATCAACATGTGACAAGGAATATCTTACGTGCCTGTTCTTATCACCATGAAAAGGAAGGCTTGGGTTTGGGTTTTGGGTTTAGGGCTTCGTGTTGAAGAGCCTGGCAGCCTTTGCACTACCGCGCGAAGACGAAAACAAGGACCAGACCAGCGCCTCGGGGTCTTTCCAAGGCTACCTTTTACTAAAGTAACATGGAACCCCTCAAAAGGACCTACATGGACTGGCATAAACAGAGTTTACTCGTCTACCCGATTCCCCTGCCCTGCGTACGACTCATGAAGCGTCTTGCGATCTTCCTATGCATTCCCGAGATAAGCCCTGGGCCAATGTTACAATGCACCCACGCAGCGGCGCTTAAGTCCACTGATGTGATTTATGTGTTCTTTGTGTGGGCTTGTGTTTTTTTAGCATGGATGCCAGAAATTCAGCAAAGAGACCGAAAGCTTCAGTCGCACAGTGCTTTGGCATAAGGGTCTCTGCGGGTTTCTCTACGGTCTCTACTAGACGGCCTCTGCCTGGGGTGGAATACTTCAAGTCAAGTTAATCAATAGCACCTATTTGAGCTTTAGGCTCTCAAGTCCACATAGGGGGTTTCCCAAAGTTAGGGGTACCATTTTGGGGGTCCCCATAATAAGGACTAGAGTATTTGGGGGGTCTATTTTGGGGTTCCCCTATGTGGGGAGAGTACCATGCAGTTTCATTTGGAAGCCCCGGGTCCTGCTGGGCCTGAAGGAACACGTGCCTTCTGACTTTGAGATGTGAAGCACTGCAGCCTTTTCCGTCAAGCTGAAGCTTGCAAATTTTAGTTGGAAAGCATAGTGATACTCAGGAATTCAGGCCAGAACACATCTTCATTTAGATCTTCCCTATTGGTGTTGGCCACCCTCAAAAGCATGGGCGGCGCAATCAACACCTTGGCGTTCCCAGCGCCAAATCTGCCCCGCCAGTTCTACGAGGAGCTGACTGCTACCCAGATCTTGGGGGCTGGCGTTCAAGGTTTAGGGCAAGTTGTACAAGGGTTGTAAGGAGATACGAATTTTACGTAGAGTAATCGCAACCTGTGTCCGTGATAAAAGGGATTCGTATTTGAAATGATGGTATTCTTGGCGTGTTATTACACTTGGGAGCTAATCATCCCCAAAATGCACTAAACAAGCAAGATGCCCGTCAGTCCTACGAGGAGTTAGATATTACCTGGGAGCATATCCTCCCCCAAATACACTCAGGAACAACAAATACACGCCTCGATGTGGATCACCTACAAGGAGATCATGTCAATAAGACAGACACCCTCCAGTAGTAACGATCATTGCTCATGACAATGATGAAGACCAATATTTCTATATCTGTAGCAGCACGGCTACTAGTACAACAGCAATCTTATCTTAAACGTAAATCCTAAGACTGTAAACCAGCAACCCTGAACCCTTGGTAGGTGTTGCCAGAGCCATGAAGTCGAGTTTGGATTGCTTCTGCTGCTGTCTGCTGCAAGACGGACAAAACAGCGAGAAAAAAACATGTTTAAGCCCTAAACCCAGGGTTAGGGTTTAGGGTTCAAGGAAACTTAAGCCCCAAACCTTAAACCCAAGGCCACTCCCAGGCCCATGCAAGTGCTAGCACCTTGAACCAAAGGCTTCGGACTCAGCCTCCCGGCGACGGAGGTTCAATCTGTACCTTAATACACAACAGTCATATGAGCTATGGTCTAAACTCCCTAAGGAGGGGTTATATAGGGAATTATCGGGGACTATATAGGACGTATTTTGGAGGATATGAAGGGGGATACTAGGAGTTTAGACGATAGCTCATATAATTTGGGAGTCTTATTGTGTTCATCGCTATTAAGGCATGGGAAAGTACGTATATGATGAGTGTATACTTTGGACCCTTAGGGGGAGTCCAATTCAGTGTACTTGTCGTGTTTCAGCTTCTGTTGGCAATAAACAATAAACCGCAACCTTCGTCCGTGCCTATACCGCAGCGACTCCTAGATTCTTTGTGCAGGACGAGCTAAAGACACGTCCAGATCTGGTCTGGTTGAAGACGGTGAATGAGGCGGGCCCCTGTGGCCGATATGTGATCGGAAGTGCGTGATATTTCCGTGAAGATATGCAGAAGAGAGCTTGATGCCAGGGGTCTTACATGCATTTGATGTAGGGTTCTCCTTATAACATAGAGATACATAGACGTGCGCTCGCGTTGAATGCGTTTCTTGGCTTTTTTGGCACCTGCAGCGCAGCCCCCCCAAGGGTCAAGTACCTCGATGGTGAGCACTTACATTCCGAAGCATCCATTCATTAGACCCATCTGCAACCTCGGCGATACAGGGTGGAGCCCTTAGCTACATAACTTTATTTACAAGTTTCATAGCT